CCACCCACCACCACTCACCATCCACCTGCCACCACCACCCACCTCCTACCCACCACCATCACCCACCACCCACCTGCCACCACCACCAACACCCACCACCCGCCACCGCCACCGCCACCACCCACTCGCTACCACCCACCACTCGCCACCGTCACCCACCTACCTGCCCGCCACCACCGACCACCACCAGCAACCCACCACCCACTGTCACCACTTTCCACCACCGTCTTCCACCGCCACTTGCCCTCTCACTTTTTTTTTATATTTTTAAATTTTTTTTAAACATTTTGTCAATTACCAAACACCTTTGTAGTTTATGTTTTTCTAAAAATAAACAAAAAATAAACAAAAACCAGTTTATAAAATTTTTGTAAATATAAACTGAAAACGTAAACGTTACCAAACACAAAATATGGACTTACGAATTGGCATATAAAATTTTAAGAGTAGTGTTACAAATTCACAATTTGAATGTTTAATTTGATCTATAATCACGTGACAAAAAAAATAGGCCTTACACACCTAAGTAGTAACAAATTAATAGTTGACATTTATCTTGTCACATCGTCATGGATTGGGAGATTTTGTGTGGGTCTAAAACATTTTTTAAAATTATAATTGTCCTTTAAATCAACAACTTGTTATTAATTCTATCTATTAAAAAAAATTGTTATTAATTATTGGGGAAAAAAACAATTATAATACAAAATTTTAAAATGCATCTGAATAATAAAAATTGTATATTGAATTATAAAAAATAAAAATAAAACTTTATTTACTGAAAATTCAAACTATATAAACACACACATCCATTTATGTTATTAAATTGTGTGCATCCATCTTTAATTTTGTGACAATATGATTATCTGATTGGTTGTTACACACATCAAAATTAAACACAAAATTACACTAAATTCTTTTAGAATAATGGCAAGTCCAAATATCGATCCACAGAGACATTTGTGAAATTAAACTAATTTAATTGTTAAATTCTTAAATTAATTTTGATGAAAAGATTGATTGTTCATAACCTAATTTAATAACAAATAAATTAAACTAAGTAATTAAATTATCAATTATAAATAAAATTGGATTTACTGATTTTGGGAAAAACCTAGGGCAAAGAGTCTATCACTAGTCACGTAAATAGGTTTCCAATTGAAATTAATTATGTTATGGTTCGAACGGAATAGTGCTTTGCAACTACAAGTTCAAAGCATTTAACAAGAAAATCATCACATTCAATGTACGAGCACAAACCATCTCAAGTAGTACGAATCGTTCACTCTAAAGTAGGGTAGTGACACGACTCGTCACTCGTAGTATGATTCGTCTCATACCTTGAATGTGAAAGAATAGAAAACTCCTGTATGGAAAACATTCGACAGTCACAGAAAGCCGAATACTTGAAGAAATAATTGAAGAAACATATCTGCAAAATATCAAATTAATCGGATATTGTTAACTATTTCATCGAATTACATTTGTATCTAAAAAATAAATGACAAATGTCATTAGAGTTATAAAATTGAATAAAAATGTGAATGTATGAAAAAATTAATGGTATTCAATTAATTTAATATTACGAAAGTATAATACACTCTTTATATTTTAAAAAATGAATTGCCCAAATTATTAAAATGTTCTCCAAAATTAGTTCATGCAACCACACAACAGTTACTTCGGGCACAAAAGTCATCCATTTGACACTTTTTCTCTGACTCCATATACCTTACACATTTATAATAGGTTTTTCAAGCTCTAAAAGTCAAGTTAAAATTCTCCACACAAATCACCATACAGACCCTATTCCATTTGATTAGTTATTTGGTGCAATTTATAGAATCTATTTACAGACTATTTTTAAATTTTAAGTATAATTTATAGAATCTATTTACAGTTTATTTTTAAATTTTAAGTATTTGTGTATAGGTGTTTGATATAATTTCTGTTAATTAATAAGATATAAAAAAAATTAAAAATTTTAAGAAAATATGTACCAAACAAACCTATATCTCTTACATGATTTTTTAGGATAAACGAGAAAGTTTGGTGGATTGGGAAGACTCGTTGAGCATATTGGAGTGTTGTGGAAAGTTGGTAAAAAGTTATTTTTTTTTATTTTTTTATTTTTATAGTGACTTTTTAGACAAAAAACTAACTTCTTTTAGATAAAAAAAACACTAATTAATTTTTTTAACTAAAAAAATTAAAAAATCAAAAAATTAATTTCTTTTACCTTGTTACCACTGCTGGAAATTAAGCTTTTAGTGGCGTTTAAAAAACGCCGCTATAGCTATCAAAAACGCCGCTAATTGTTTTTGTGACGTTTAGTACCAAACGCCGAAGATGCGGCCGTCGCTGTAACTTTATGACACTTTAAAAGCGTCGCTATATCAGTATAGGCGGCGTTTTTTAAATGTGCTTCAGAATGATGCAATGACGTCACTCCACATTTAGCGACGTTTTAAAAACGCCGTGATAGATCATTTTTATTTTAAAAATATAACCGTTAGTATTCTACAGTGGCGTTTAAAAACGCCGTTATAACTTCATTTTATTAAAAAAAATTAATAATAAATTGTGCTAATTCTGTGAGATTTAACCCAAAAAAAATCCCTTTTATAAAGATGAAAAATATACAATATATTGACTAAATTTAGGCAAACATAATACTAGATCAATTCATGCTTCTCAATACGCAAAAATATTTCAATTCCAAGATGAAATAAAGTTAACCTAGTGGTAAGTTGAAAGTTATTACAAAACAAATCGGCACAAAAGATGCAATTCAAACTAATTATACATACAAGTACTATGAAAGCATCTACTAAGAAACAAAAATTCCCGGGTTCTATAAGGAAGATGATGGTCCTTTGTTCACATCTCAGCATGGTTGACACATCTTGTGCTGTCACCTACCAAGCATTCACCAAAATAGGTGTTAACAAGGACAAATTTACCACACAACCAGTAAGTACAGAGAATACAAATGTAGTTGCCTAAACAATCACAGTAGTTATCAACAAGAAGTTAATAATCTAAAATGAGATCAAGACACTAACCTTAACAAGAAGGCTGCGGAACCGTGACTTAACCCAACCCACCATGTGGTCTCTGTTACCTATGAAATACACATAAAAGAATTAGCCTTATTAAGTCTCTGTTACCTATGAAATACATAAACACACACACACACACACACACACACACACACACATTAAAGTGCCCCTATCTAGCTATGATACAGGTTTCGGCATCAATTGACCAAGCTTGATCTTCGTGGTTTGAACCGTTGGATCCGAGTTTTGAGGTTAGAATCTTGATCTCCTTTGGTTGTTCTTGCTGATTACCTAGCTGCATTGCATGATCGAAATTGTGTTGCATGTCATGCATCGTTTTGAAGTTGGTTTGGAAAGAGAAAATGGTTTTTCATGTGTTCTTGAAGAAAGTCTCATTTTGATCGAAAAGTTTGGAACGAAAACCATGTTTTGTGTTTGTTCTTGCATGACTTTCTTGAATGGGTACCCAGGTCCATATATTTTGAACTCTTGGCATGAAAACTTAGATTTTTGTAGCAAGTTGTGAGCTTGCATCCATCTTTCAAATGGTCATGTTCTTCATATTCTTCAAAGGAAAACCCAGGTTTTTCCTGACTTTGTATAACGGGACCTCGGCTTAGTCCTGAACGGTACTCAGTGTGTTTTCGAGGAGCGGGAGCGGTGTCTAAGCTCCCAGCTTGTTTTGCTTTGCCTTTGACTTGGATCTGGCAAGAATGCCGAAATCATTTGCATGTATTTGGAGCTTGCTTTGAGAATGTGACTTGCCATGTGATTGTAGGTCCTTGATATTTGCTTTGAGTCTACACCTGAAGAACTAGGTGAGTGGTATTATTGATAAAGCTATGTTATACTTGTTTTGATAAATCTTGCTTGCTTGTTTTGACAAAAGTATTGATAGCATGAATAAATAGCTCTTGTTTTGATGTGCCAAGTATACTCCTTGTTTTGATGCCATCTTTGAAAAGGATACGGTCCTTGTTAAATCGGGCTACGGGCCTAAGTAACACAAGTCCCATTCTCAGTAAATTACTCAGTAAATTCCCAGTAAATTACATAGTAAATTTCCAGTAAATTCTCAATTAATTATTCGTTAAATTATCTGTAAATTACT